CGGAAGCCACTTCCTGAAGGACTGATGAATCAGGGTCTGTAGATGGCATCCTTGGCCTGGGGGTGGGGGTGGGGGGGAACCTTCCCTCTCTGCTCCAGATCTGGACCATTCCTATCCTTTGTCCACATGCCTGTTATCTTCCACCAGGCTCTGGGGCCTGGGCCAAGGAAAGGGTGTGGGAGAGCCTGGTGGATAGAGATGGCACCCAGAGCCCTAGAAAAAGAGCAGAGACACCCCCACCCCCCCAGCAACCTGCCCCTGCCTTGCAGAGTTGAGAAATCCTTCCTATAGAAAGAGCTCTTAAAAGTTAATAAGAAAAAAGATAGACCTTCCAATAGAAAAGCAGAGGATATGAATAATAATAATAACCACCCACAAATAGCCAATGAACGTATGAAAAGATTCTTTAGTTTATTCAAAAATAAAAACTGAACACTGAAATAGCCTCAAGTATAAGGGCGGGGGTTCCCAACGTTTTAGAGTTGAGAAACTCTCCTAATGTCTAACTTCCTGGGACCCTTTCCTCTTCCTCATATGGTGCTGATGACTATAATCATTTTTCTTTCCTTTAAAAAAGAAATCATTCTTCGCCCACCCAAAGATCATAACTGGCCTGGCCTGATTCATTACCTTAAAATAGTGGAGAGTTGAGAACTTTTTTTTTTTTTGCCGTACATGGGCCTCTCACTGTCGTGGCCTCTCCTGTTGCGGAGCACAGGCTCCGGACTCACAGGCTCAGCGGCCATGGCTCACGGGCCCTGCCACTCCGCGGCACGTGGGATCTTCCTGGACCGGGGCACGAACCCGTGTCCCCTGCATAGGCAGGTTGACTCTCAACCACTGCTCCACCAGGGAAGCCCCGAGTTGAGAACTTTTAAAGAATTTTACGATCTTCCCAGAATAAAGTTAAAAACCCCATGTTCTGGATGCTTGGGGAGCCTCCCATCTCGTCCCACCCATCCATGGCAGGGGACCCTCTCTCTTCTTCCCTGCAGGAGTCTGGGAATAGCCCTCAGGCCCTGGGGCCCATAAGGACTCGTCACCGTTGCCTTTTCTCACACTGTCACCTTTACCTGGCATGACCTCTCCATGCCCACCTATCTATCTATTGTTTAAATAAGGATTGCTAAGTGCATACAATGGAATACCACCTTTTAAAAATCCTCACAGTTGGTGATTCTTCCAACAAAGTAGTTGCGAGGACCCTGTGAGATGAGGCGGGGAACGTCTGGCGTGATACCTGGATGTGGTACCCACTCCATAAATGGTAGCTATACCTGGGTCTTCACAGAGACTTCTTGCCAATCAGGTCTCAAAGTGTCACCTCCTCTGAGAGGCCCTCCCAGATCACCTTCCTAGGTGGCACTCCCCACACCTGTCACTCCATCCCCTGGTCCTATTATATCATCTTAATGCTTAGCACTCCCTGAAGCCATCTTATTTGTTTATTATCTTTCTCCCTCCAGCTCTGTGAGCACAGGGATCTTAACTATCTTGTTTACTGATGTACCCCCAACACCTACAATAGCGCCTGACATAGCAGGTGCTCCGTATATTTGTTTTTCATTTTTATTTTTAAAATTTATTTAATTTTTTTGGCCCTGCTGTGCAGCTTGCGGTATCTCAGTTCCTCGACCAGGGCCACAGGCAGTGAAAGCCCGGAATCCTAACCACTAGGGCACCAGGGAACTCTGTTTTTCATTTTTATGTTTTTATTATTTTAAAAAATTTTTATTTATTTATGTTTTGGCTGCGTTGGGTCTTTGTTGCTGCGTGCGGGCTTTCTCTAGTTGCAGCGAGCGGGGGCTACTCTTCGGTGCGGTGCGCAGGCTTCTCTTGTTGTGGAGCACTGGCTCTAGGCGCGCGGGCTTCAGTAGTTGTGGCTCATGGGCTTCAGTAGTTGTGGTGCACGGGCTTAGTTGCTCTGTGGCATGTGGGACCTTCCCGGACCAGGGCTTGTACCCATGTCCCCTGCATTGGCAGGCGGACTCCCAACCACTGCATCACCACCAGGGAAGTCCCTGTTTTTCTTTTTTTTTTTTAAAGAAGATGTTGGGGGTAGGAGTTTATTAATTAATTAATTTATTTTTGGCTGTGTTCGGTCTTTTGTTTCTGTGCGAGGGCTTCCTCTAGTTGTGGCAAGCGGGGGCCACTCTTCATCGCCGTGCGCGGGCCTCTCACTATCGCGGCCTCGTGGCCTCTCTTGTTGTGGAGCACAGGCTCCAGATGCGCAGGCTCAGTAATTGTGGCTCACGGGCCTACTTGCTCCGTGGCATGTGGGATCTTCCCAAACCAGGGCTCGAACCCGTGTCCCCTGCATTAGCAGGCAGATTCTCAGCCACTGCGCCACCAGGGAAGCCCCCCTGTTTTTCATTTTTAAATCAACTTTATTGAAGTAGAATTTACATACAATCAAATGCACCCCCTTTATGTCGTAGAGTTTGATGAGTTTTGACAAATATGTACACCTGTGTAACCGTCAAGGCAAAGATCATTTCCATTCATCTCAAAATTTTAGCCCTGAGTTTTTTTGCGGTCAATTCCCCTCTACCCTCTGCTACATTTCTGTGTGTGTGAATTGAACTAATCTTGAATTAGAGAGGACTGGCCCTAAGGTCTGGGGAGAGCTATTCACATGTTTACAATGCCTTTCCACTACTACGATCTTGTTTGTCTCACATGTGAGGCCATGGGTGCTCAGAAGGGCTAGGTGGTGACATGTGACAGAGGGTCTTCAAAGCCAAGAGGGAGAGCCCTCTGGGCTAGGGGCCTGGCACGCTGGGAAGTGTGTGGGTGCTCCAGGCTCACAGGCCTGTGTGCACCATGGAGCCTGGCAAAAGGCTGGCTTGTGGCCCCACCTCTACCCCAAATGGCCCAGGCCTCCAGGCCAGCTGAGGAGATGCCCTGCGGTGTTCAGATGTCAGCTACCTCCATCTACCCACCTCCCAGAGCAGAGCAGGCCTTTCCAGTCCCTATAGTTTGGGCCAGGGAAAAAGGAAATAAGGCTAGCGGCACCACTGGTGGCTCAAAGAGAACCAGACGCTGGGTGTCAGCAGACTTGGCCTCTGGCTGGGTTCTGCCTCCACCTTGCTGTGTGACTTTGGCAAGTCACTTTCCCTCTCTGGGCCTCAGTTTCTGTCTCTGTAGAAGGAAACTAACAATCTCTGCCAGCTGGACTTCAACTTCTCTGCTGCGTGAATACATTCTGCTCTTCAAAGCCTGTGCCTCTGCCTGTGCTTTCCCCACTCCCTGGAATGCTGTTCCTCAGTATCTGCTGTCAAAATTCTGGTTTTTCCAACTCGTAGTTCTGGCACTACTCCTTCTGTGATTTTCCTCAAGACAGAATGTTCTGTTCCTTCCTCCAGTTTCTCTATGCTCTCGAGGGCAGGGACTGTAATGAATAGTAGAATGGTGGGTTCTGTCTACTGAGATGACCCATCGTGTGCCAGGTGCTGTGCTAATCACTCTGCTATCTCATTTAATCCTCACAACAAAGCATCATTATCCTCAGTTGACGGATGAGGAAACTGAGGTTCACAATAATGCCACTTGTCGTGGGTCCCAGAGCAGGTAGGACAACTTGCATCCTCTCTTTTCATCCCCAGCATCTTGCAGAGGGCCTAGCAAGCAGGCATTTATCACTGAATGCATGAAGAGTGCCTAGATCAGAGGTCCCCAACATTTTTGGCACCAGGGACTGGTTTCGTGGAAGACAATTTTTCCACAGACTTGGCAGGGTGGTGCGATGGTTCAGGTGGTAATGGCAGAGTGACGGGGAGCAGCAGATGAAGCTTCGTTCGCTCCCCTGCCGCTCACCTCCTGCTGTGTGGCCCGGTTCCTAACAGGCCACTGGCCTAGATCACATTAGTCAACTTCAAACTTACCTTCTGTGGCGTTGACAGGACTGAAGCACCCGTGCTCAGTAAAGTTAATTTTTATTATCATCATGTTCTGCGTATGTCACACTTACAGTAAGAGCTGTCCAACTACAGGGTGGGGCACGCTGACAAGTTAAGTACTCAGTCACTGGAGTAAGCAAGCAGAAACTGGGTGACGCTTGCTATGCAGTACAGGTCTGAGCATCAGCGGCCAAAGGAGGACCTCTGCTACCCGAGTCCGTGATTTGGGGATCCCAGGGGTTAACCTGTCTCCCCTACCGGCTTGGGGGACAGTGTGGGTAGAATTGAAACACATTCCCCTGCTACACGTGACCCAGTCAATGCCCAGCCCTGCAGGCCCGGTACCCAAAGTCCATGCTGGTCCGTGGGTTTTGAATCTGAGTCTTTTACAAACTGTAAAGTACTTTTTTTTTTTTTCTATTTCTGACTTGCCCTGTCTCACAAACCACTTCCCAACTGAAGTACCCATATGCCGAGCCTGAGGAATGTCCGCCTGGCACTGGGACCAGGGGTGCCTTTGGGCCGGAGCCTTGCCTGCCACCTCCCTTTTCCCTGCACTATTGTGCAAGACAGGAGGGCACACCTTCTGGGGCAGGTCGGATCAAGGCCAGGGAACTTCCCGAGGGCTGGCGGCGGCGGGCGGGGCTGGGGGCAGGGGAGCAGGGGCGGGAGGAGTGCGCCTAGGCGTCGCCTACCGGTCCCCTACGTCCTCCTCGGCGTGATTCTCTTCCCAAGCGGGTCGGGGAGGGGGTGACACTCAGGCAGGAGCCCCCCAGGCACTCCCGTTCTTTCCGATGCCCCCCCCAGCCCCATCTCTTTCTTCGTTTTGATCACGGTCCGGTGCGCCTCCCTCTGCGTCTCTCCTCGGTCTCCCTTTCTCCGACCTTCTCTTTGTTTCCGTCTTGCGGGCGGTCCCGGCATCCCCGGCCCCCTGCCCCGCCCGCCAGCCAGCCAGCCAGCCCGCCAGCCTGCCAGCCACCGCCATCTGTGCCTAGCAGTGTTCCAGACCTGGGAGGATTCAGACTAACCGTGCCTGGGCCTTTTCTTCCAAAGCCTTGGGGAGGGGCCAGCCTTCATGGGACGTGGCCTGGCGGGCGGGGCGGGCGCGGTAGGGCTGCTGGGCCACGGGCTGGGGCGCGCGGCGGAGGCGGTCCGCGGACTGACGCTGCTAGAGCCGAAGCGCGAGCCGGGCGAGGCCGCAGCCAGGGGCGGCAGGAGCGGCGGGAGCAGGGCTGGCCGGCTCCATGGCGCCAGTGGCGCCCGTCTGAGCAGCGCGGGCAGCGGCAGGCGGCGGCCGAATCGGGCCGCGGCTCTTACTCACCATGGGGGACGTGCTGTCCACGCACCTGGACGACGCCAGGCGCCAGCACATCGCAGGTGAGTCCAGCGCAGCGCAGCGCGCGCAGGGGGTCCGGTGGGGAGCCCCCGGCCACGCCCCCATCCCGGCCAGCCTGCCGGGGTCTCGGGAGAGTCAGGCCCCGGGCAGGGCGGGAGTGGCTGGGGGACCAAGACTGTTGTCCAAGCTTGTTTCTTCTACGTCTGAGCGCCCCTTCCCGGCCCCTTCTGAGGCCGCCCTTCCCCCTCCCGGGGGGCTCGAACTCCCACCCACCCCTTGGAGCCAGGTCTCGTCGGATCCCCCAAAACACTACCGCAGTCGAGCTATGGGAGGGGTCGCAGCCTCCCCTTAACCTTGCGTATTCCCGCCCGGAAGCGGTCCAGGCCCACTTGGCCAGCGTGTCCTGACCTTCCCTAGCTGTCCCAGTCCACCGCTCGCCCTGGCCCCAGACCCAGTACACGTGGCCGAGGCTTCCAGGGGATTGGCCCATCAAGGCCTGAGACTGAGCCTGGGGAGTGAGCTTAGGATAGATGAGATACACAGGAGCGGTGGGTTAGAATCCCTGTCCTTGGACTCCGGCACAGCAGGGTGCTTCTGCTGGCAGCTTGTTTAGGGGGCTGGTCAGGGCCGGAGCCCAGCCTCCTCAGCCCCCTCCTTCAGCCACTTCTGCACAGTGGCCACTTCTCAGAAGGGCAGCTGCCCCCTCCCCGCTCCCTGGGGAAACCCAGGGACTGCAGCAGGGTCCTGGGTTCCTCCTCCCCAAAACTCAGAGAGTGGAGAGAGAGGGTGAGACCCTCTGGCTGTCTGGGAAATTCAGTTCTGCGTGAGGCTGCCTGGGTGGAACCCCAGCATCTGTTTCCCAGCCATGAGATCTTGGACAAGTCTCCTAATGTCCTGGCCCCTCACAGTTTTCTCCTCTTTGAAATGGGGTGAATGATTTCTTTCTTATTAATAGGCTTAAGTGAGCTAATTCACATAGCTTGCTTAGCACAGCCTGGCATAGAGGAGACCCCAGTGCATGGGATGCTGGTCCATGTAGGATGGAGGGGGAAGCCTATGGAAAGAGGAGGCCATTCCTCTTGGCTGAATCTGCCTTTCTCTGTCTGGTGGACCCAGAGCACGGTGTCCGCCTACACTTATCTTGATGTGTCCTGCAGTCCTCTAGAGTTTTAGAAGCTGTGTTCTGCCACTCAGACCCCTGGAGAACAGGAACCAGGGGTCCCTTAACGCCGGGTTCCCACCCCAGCTGGGCACAAAGGTTTGTCCTGTGACTGCGGTCCTGGGCTCACGGCCTGAGATCCCCCTTTGTGCCTGGCCTGGGCCCGGGCCCAGTGGTGAGGGTGATGAAGAAATGAGTCAGACCCTCTCCAGCGTCAGACCAGCAGGGGGTTAAGTCCTGGAATACTTGCTTGTAGGACAGGCCTGGACTCTGGGAGGAGGAAGGCCTGGGCGGAGTCTTCCTGTCCCCTCCCTGTTGGTGGCAGCCTCCTGGGCCTCTGTAACAGTCCATCCATTCACGACCTCCTGTTGGGGCCCCTCACCCGACCTGGTTGGGGTGTGCTGCGCCTTCTTTGGTGGGGTTTTTCCTCCCTCCACACCCAGCTCTGGCTCTCCCCCTCTTCCCGCCTCCTGGGCTGAGAACTGCCACTTCACAGGAGAGGAGACTGAGGCCACAGAAGGTGAAGTGTCCTCACCTGGACAGGGCTGGGTTTGTTTTGTGGATGCCAGGCTTGGTGGAAGAGGGCTGTGCGCACTCAGAGCCTGCTGGCCTCTTTCTTCTCAACACTTCAGTGCTATTAATAACCCTCCTTAAATGCCTCAAATTCCTGGTCCAGACTCACCTGAGGGGGCTCCTGCAGTACCAGTGGGAGGGGAGGAAACCAGCGAGCCTCCAGCCGCCTCCCACTGAAGGGAGCTGCCTCGGAAATCTCTGTTGTGGGGAATGGGGGCGTGCTTTGCCACCTCCAGTGATCCTCGCATCGTCCTCACCCCACCCACAGAGCAGCTAGAGCAGCCAGCACTTTCCTGCAGGACAATTAAAATTCCGCCCCATAGAGAAGTCAGCTGTGCTCTGAGCTCTGAGGCCTGTTCCTGGTCGGGTTCTGTGGCTTGGCCAGTGGCTTGCCGGGATTTGCACCTGCCTTGAGGAGGTGAGCAGGTGAGTGCCAGCCTGCAAGTCCTGGCAGGGGTCAGCCGCGCTTCTGCCCATGGTGCTGTTTTGCCATCCCGGCGTCTTTCATCCTGGGATTTCAAAGCTCCTGGCAAGCAGGGGCTTGTTCTCACACCAGCGGCCCCGTGGGGCTATAGTGGCAGGATGATCCTCTTCCTTCTTGCATGAGGGAGTTTGTGTGGAGGAGGAACCCTGGCCTGGGAGCCAGGAGGCCTGTGTAACCTCAGGCAGCCGCTTACTTAACTCTCTCCAGTCTGTTTCTCACTGTGACTGAAAGGGTGTCTTCCCTGCGGGCCATAGTCCCTTCCAGCTCTGAGGGCCTATAACCATCCCAAAGTTTCCCCACAAATCTCCTCAGATTTGAGCCAGCTCAAGGCCCCAACATTGACTCCACAGCATGTTAGCTGCCATGACCTTGAGCCAGCATCTGAATCTCAGTGTTCTTATCTGTAGAATGGGAATAATGAGATAATGCTGGTCAGAAACTTGGCCCAGTGCTTGGGGCATAGTAAGTACTTAGCAAACAGCTGCCATTATTATTGAGATTGTTCTTGAGAGCGGCCAGGTGTTTGGAGTTTGAAGCAAGCAACTGTAGCTGTGGTTTAGGTCCTGTTTCTCTGAGGTTTGTCCAGTCCCTGGGGTCAGGGTTGATGCTGCAAGAATCCACCTGGGTTTTTAGAAACCCTGATTACCTTCTGTATTGGCATATGTGTGAGATGGATGTGGGCTATCTGGAGTGGGTCCAGAGAGCAGTGAGGGGAGGACCCATATGACAAGGAAAGAACTAAGACGTGGAGAAGTGGGGGGTAGGGTTAGGCCAACTCACACCTTCTACTTGGCGCAGAGGCCAGGACAAGAACAAGAGTGGAAGTGCCCACTGGCTTCTATCAGTGCTGTAAGAGGGGTTCTTTGCATATGGTCTGAGCCACATAAACCAAGATGGAGCAGGTGAGGGAGTGAGCTCACTGTTGCTCGAGGTATGCAAGTAGGGGCTGGGTGCCGTGCCCTTGGCAGGAAACTTGGCCCTGCTTGGTGTGGGTCAGGGGGATGGGGGCTGTGCCTCAAGGATGGACTTGAAAGACTCAATCATTGCTCCAGGAATTCTGTTGATCAAGATGAAATTGTGGGGGCCAAGGAACCGCCCCCCCGGCACACACACGTACACACAGTGCCCTTAAGGTTTATTATCCGAGAGCGCTCGTGCAGAAGTTTACCAGGGCCTGTGCTCCTCCCTTCTGCCGGCCTCACCTTGCCCCTTGCTAATTCTTTTTTTAAATAGCAGCTTTATTGAAACGCAATTCACCTGCCAGCCAATTCACCCACTTAAAGTGTACCATTCAGTGGTTTTTTTGTATATTCACACAGTCGTGCAACCTTCCCCACGATCGATTTTAGAAGATTACGTCACCCATCAGAGAAACTCTCCACCCATTAGTAGTCACCCCCGCTTCCCCCTCAGTCCTTCCCAACTCTAGGCAGCACTGCTAAATGTCGTCTGATTGCAAAAGTAACACACACGCAAGCACTGTGGGAGTGGAAAATGAAAAAAGCAGAGCTCTTCCATCTTCCCTCCCTTCAATCCCACTGCCCAGAAGAAACCCCTCAAGATTGGTGTGTCACTGTTTCCAAACGCCCATCTGTGTACATACACATTTAACTCTGTTTATAAAAAGAGGTCCAATTATATGTTTCTGTGGTTTGACTTGTTTCACTCAGTATATTGTGGATACCCTTCCATGTCAGAATGCGTGAGTCTGCCTTCTTCTGTGGGTGGGTTTCTTTTCTGTGCGTGGCAAGGTTACCCAGATCCCTGTTAACCGACGTTGGGGTGTGTCCAGTGTTTTGCTAGTAATCATGGTGCTGCCCGAACCTCCTTGCACATATCCTGCACCAGGTTCTGGTGTCAGAGCGGCCTCAAAATGGAACTCCTGGGTCACGTTTTGATGTGTTGACACAGAGCCTCTGAAAAGGCTGTAAACGTTTGACACTCCCTCCTGACAGCATGTGGTAGTTCAGTACCAAGTATTCTCACCCCTTTTGACAATCAGATATGAGAAAGGGGGTATCTTTTTAATTTATTGAACAGAATAATTAATATCTTTCCTCCAGGTTGATTTTAAAAAACTGCCTTTCCTCATTCGGGCAGTGGTTGAAGGTCCCAGGAGTTTAGGGGTGGAGGGGTTCTGCATTTGACCACCCCCCCACCCAGGTGCGTGGCTTCCTGGATGCAGCCGTGGGCTTTTCAGGGAGCCCAGGCTGGCCGGAAGCAGTGCTCCACCACCACCCCCCTTCGCTGCTGCCCTTAGCCAAGGTCTGGGTCAGCCCCTGGGGGTAAAGCGTCTGGGGATTCTGCCCTGCTCTTGTGTCGTCTTACATAACGTGCTTTTGTTGGCGTTGACCCTGCCCTCCCCCTCCATCCAGCCTCCACTTTTCTGTTCCTTTCCCACTGCTGGGGCCTGAGCTCCGGCGTCGCCTGCTCAGAGCTGCCTCCCATCTCACCCCTCCATCCTTCCCGCACGCGCTGCCAAAGAGATCTTTCTAAACCCAAACTGGGCCATGGGCCTCCCTTCCTGCCGCCTGAGGAACGAGGGTTAGAGACAAAATTAGGAGTCACTCACCACCATCCTGCAATAACTTTATTCTTTCGTGGTATTTCCCTTCTGTGTTTATGACACGTTGCTGAGACCATGACTCAGTTTGTGCCTCGCTCCTTGTACGTTTACGATTCATAGTAAACATCGCTCCCAGGTCATTAGACCCTCCCTGGAAGCGTCCTCCAAAGCTACATCTGTTCCACCTGAGGCCATCCATGCAGACGTTTTTCTTAGCCTTTCCCCTAATGTAGGACATTGCCATGCTCCACTGTGACCA